TCACGTGGTAAAATATATAAAAATCAACAATCTAATTGTTGATTTTTATATATTGTATCGTGTGACAATTAGCATCAATGATTACGGCGCCAATCACTAACGAAAGTAAAATGTTTTTAAATGCTCTCCAAGATTCAATCGATTTACAAGAATTGATACGATGAGATTGTTCTCGGAAGAACCAAAGGTCCAAATTTTCTGACCGAACCAAGAATTGAAAGGTGTGTATAGTGTTCCGTTTCGGATTAAAAAACTCGTTTTGAACCGGGATTGACCAAATCTTCTAATCCTTTCACAATGCAGCAATGAATTAAAATTATAAATAAAGGAAAAAGTGGGTAATATTATTAATATCATAAATATCACCCTTGTTTTTGTAATCTTTTTTTAATAATCCTCTATTTCTATTTCTTGATAGATCAGATATTGTACAAAGCAAAGCGATGAAAAAACAGACGATTTAGATTATATAAATAATATGCTCATGCTTGGTAATAGCAAATTTGTGTATTACTTTCATATTGTCACAAATTAACGTCTACAAAATTCTTAGGGCGGGAATATAAGGAAAATAAATCATGGGGTGTGGTTACCTGGCAACGACGAATATTTTTTCCGTTCAGGAAGTGGTGAGCCATATGATTTATCAGATGTCTAAAAATTATTATGGCAAGAACAGTAAGTCTAGTAAACAATATTTTGGTTTGCAGTCATTATTCTTATTAATAGTAGTTTTTACTTTTAGTCGTTACCACCTAACTAAAGAAGCGAAGCAGTAAATAATTAATTGGGATTCCTGCATAAAATCATCATTGCTTTGGTTTTCTCAATACTTGGAAGAACTTGATAATACGTGAATCATACTTTTTTTTTGATTGAAGCAGAATATATGGGCTGCCGTCAATAGAAATCAGGCATATCTACATTTGAAAAAAAAATTAATGCCTTAACTTTCACAGCTCATAACTCAATGGATTTTAAAGCTATCTTGATGGTTTGATATTCAAAAGAAAGCTTACGATCTAAGAATTCTTTTGAATATTAAACAATCAAGCTTTAAAATCTATCGAGATATGAGCTGTGAAAGTTTAGATCTACCTGATTTCTATTGACGACAGCCCATATATTGAAAAATTTTTTCAATAAGCTGAAAAATAAAGTGCGTATTTTTTTATTTATTTTTTTTTTTTTAATATACAGTCGATTCTCTTTATAATGAACGGGTGGATCTTTCTTATAGTAAAAAATTTCATAGAGCAATTTTTTTCCCCCTTCCCTCGGGCAACTTATTTTATTGAATATGTTTCACGCTTTTAGAGCATTTTTTTTTTTCCCTTAACGGAATTCCCTCGGGCAACTTTTATTAAACATTTTTTTTGAATGTGTTTCATGCTTATGTACATGATTATGGTCTATGTCTATTACAACTGCTTTATTTATTATAATATTTATTTATTTATTTATCTGTCTATATATTTATTTATTTGTTCTATTATTTATTTATTTATTTATTTCATTTTATTTTATTTAGTTTTATTTTTATTTTTTTTTTTAGAGCAATTTAAAAAAAGATCATTCATTATATAGTGACGGGTTCTTTATAGAAGGGTTCATTGTAATGAGAGTTGACTGTATTTTCTTTTTTTTATTTATTTTGCAAAAGAAGGGCAACTCACTATGCGAAACAGGGGCCTATAGCCGTGTTGTTGCTTGTTCCTGATTCCAACTTAGGAGAATTACTGAGTGACGATAATGGGAATGCCCAGGTTTATTGCTCAGAAGTCCTAATTTTGTTGTTGGTAAAATTCTGTTGGTTCCGGACGAGGAATCAATTATGCATTTACCTTTTACCCTAAATAAAAATTTTGATGCACTGCTAATTTTACCTTTTTCATATTTTTCATAGCAGGTGCAATCGGAACGTGGATTAAGATTATGAAGAACTAAAATTCAGACAATTCTCACTATTCTATTAACTACTGTTTAAAACTCTTACTGGAAAGACGATCACTCTTGAAGTTGAGTCGTCGGATACAATTGATCAAGTTAAGCAGAAGATCAGGAATCTTCCGGATCAGCAACGTTTGATTTTTGCTGGGAAACAATTAGAGGACAGTTGTACTTTATTTGATTACAATATCCAGAAAAAAGTAAGCAAACAAATTACTAGGATAATAAACAACAATAAGAATTCAAAATTTGTTAACGCACAGACAATATTGCTGAAAATTTTATTTTAGACTTCCGTAAAGCGAAGGCGTGAAGGGAAAAATATTGAATCACATTGTAAAATATTGGCGTTTGTAAATATAAGCAATAAAATGCATTATTAGTATTAAATTTACAGGTTAATAATTTATCATTCAATATTACAAAATTGTTTCATTATCAGTACTATAAATACAGTATTGGTAATTTTTTTAGAACTAAAATATGTTAATACAGTATGATCTTTAATAATGGTGAACGTAGAACAATTCAAACAATCTAAACGAAAGGAAGACTTTAGCGTAGCTAAATTTGTTTGTGAATGAAATTGGAGGGAACGACCTGACAATTCTATATTACATATAGCTTCGGTGCGGTGTATCTCTCATTGGGGTGTTGTGAATCTGCTGACCCGCACAGATTCAATTCTAAAATTTAAAGTGTATATAAATTCTAAATATTGTTCTAATATTCTAATGCAAATTATATATATCGTTGCACACTATTGATCCTATTGTTAGTGACTAGAAAATCGTGATTATTACAATTATAAATAATATATCTGATATAAAGCTGCGTTAAAGTTAATCCTTATTTAACGCCATATTTGGGGATAACTTGAGGGTGCATCTAGATATTTATTTTAAGTTGGTTAGCAGGAGTAATTATAAATTAAAGATCAGTGTTATCATGAAAATGAAATGAAATGATCACTCGGGTTCACATATTGTTTGTAAAATATTGGTCTTTATCATCCAAAATACAGTTAACAGGCATCGAAGTTAATTGGTTGTTTAACGTTCCATAGTCGATTGAAGAGAAAGTTGGTAAAGGTGACGTTTGAATCGTGAATTCAGGAGAATATATCTGAAAATTTGATTCTTCCACAAGCGATGTTGATCCCAAATCTGTAATTATTTCTGAGGTTTGTAATGTATAATTTGATGTATCTGAAATGCCTGGGTGAATGATGATTCCAGTAACATTAATTCCGAATTTACGAGCTTCTTGTATGTATTTATTACTTAAATTTTGAAAACCTTCCCAAGAAGTATTCGATTTAATTTTTTTACCAGGTTTAGGGCCTCTCTTTTTCTGTTCCTCGAATTGACATTCATAATTAGATTTGACACATAGTTCGCATGGACCATTGCCAGAATATTTACATCCAACTCTTTTTTTTCTACAAAGATTGCAAGCTGCAGTGCGTTTAGTTCTATAAACCTTAGATGTAGTCTGTTTATCGATTGTATTCTCGTTAGATGGCGTCAAGTTGTTTTGATAAGTGCTTAATGAATTACATAATTCTTCTTGTTCTATCGCTGATGTAGAAGATGGTGAATTATTTAAATAAGTTGGAAGTGATTCTGAGGCAGTAGCAGGAGAAGACGATTGATTTACAGGTAATTGTAATAGTTGTCTTTGCTGGTATTTAAAGTTATATCGATTATTTGCATTCTCTGCGAGTTTTTTATATTCTTCTTTTACAATTTTCGGTTCCTTTTTCCAAGAGTCACCAATAACATGTGATATTCGTGTTATTTGGAAATTAACGTTTCGTGAACGAAGCTCTTTAATATAAACGTAACGATAAACGATATAAGCAGTTAAGGGTTTAACACAATTCTGTTTAATTAAGTTATCATTGTCAATTATTGGAGGGAAAGGAAGTTTAATAATTAAATGCTGTTGAGAATAATTATGAGTCAATTTCGATTCATCTTCAATAGAAGTAACCGTGACGTTAATGTTTGTTGTCACAGGCGGTGATTTCTTGAGTAAGGATTGTTGTGATGATCTTGAGGTAATTTCATTGGACACTATCGCATTACTATTGGCTGAAAGTGAAGAATCATATGATGAGTCGAAATTTAATGATTCTTGTTCTATCGCATCGAAATTTGGAGCTACATGTTCCGCTTCATAACGAAATGAGTTGTAGACATTCATTATTTAAAGTATGATGAAAGTGAAGAAGCACTTTTTTTTTTCACCAACGCAATTTCCCAAGTATTTATATAACATGATTTTGTCGGATAATTGGAAAATTGTACCAAAAAATTATTCCGTAAGTAGCTTCGATTGTTTCCGATGATACTATAAAAAGGGAATATTTCACACAAGTATACATATATAGACAAACAAAGTGAAATCAAAAATGTCAATGCGGAAATTGCAAAGAGATCAGCTACGTACGCACGTACGACGCACAGTACGTAACATCGCTTTTGTACAATGTTAATACTGTATATGGTTATAGGAAGTTTAAAAGAAATTTCTATTCCACAATTTTATAAGTAGCCAATATAAATGTACTGTATCTACACTTTATCCAATTTTTTTTAAAAACTTGGATAACTACGAGTCTACCGTTATTCGACTTTCATAAAAGGAACTTGAGTTTGGAGAATGTACACAATGATTCAAATGGTCTCACTTCTTCAAAACAATCACACTATTTAAAGTAACTATCGGATAAGGTAGCATGGACAAAATTTTCAATTTACATCATTGTACTATATACAGTGTGTTAAATTTTTTTAGTTTTTTTTTATATTACTGTATTTTCGCGTTATTTATAGTACGCGCATGGGGCGTTATTTTGAGGCAACGATAAATTTCATCTAAACGCAAGCTATATCTAATTATTAGTTGAAACCTTATATGGGGTGCGCGTTATTTCAGGACGCGCATGGGCGTTATTTTGAAACCATACATGCTACAGTATTTCAGGGGGCACGGTTTTTAATTAACGTGCCCGTTATTTCGCGAAAATACGGTGGTAGTGCAAAATTCTTAAAGTTCCCTTTTTTAAAAAATCATGCTTTTTAAAAACTAATATATGCGCAGTTTGATATTTTTTGCATTTGAACTTTTAGATAAAAAGTTTTTGCAATTTTAATATTTGATGTGACTAAACTACACACGTACGTTGTAACTATCTTACAGATAAAATCATAGTAGATGTTGAGACAGGTATAAACGTGATTTATTAGATGGAGTTATGACAATAAATTAATTTTATATCTTTTTTTTTTAGGATCAGGATTTTATAAAGACGCGAGGTTTATATCTTTATTACTGACGATTTACATCCGAAGTAGAACCGTATTTTTATTATAATATGAAGGAATTACAAGTAAAACACGAGAATACAGTAATACAATTAATTACACTACGATCATTATACCGAGGAAAGTATCAAATATAGTTCTTACGTGTTAATTACTATTTCCATTGATTTTTCATTTTTTTTGGTGGTTGCTGATTCTTACTGTTAGCTAACAACCAACCATACTACGTAGTTCGTAACCAATGATCGGCATTAAGATGATTCAACCTTCATACTCATAGCAGATGCGACTTTTCACTCTCTGGAAAATATAAAATTAAATAGAAAGGTAAATAAAAATTTTTAAATTTTATAACAAGTCATGACAGTGTACGTACGTATGTACTTACTATAGTTCAAATGTATAAAGTGGTGTATTAGTAAGTGATGTAAATAATTCTCTTCAATTTGTTTTACACCAGATTTGAGTAGAGCAGCACGGTTAATTTTATGGACAATTACTTCATTAACACCCCAGTCTACCTACAATTATAGCTGTTTATAGAATCGGTGAATAATCAATCGTTCGATCAAACCGATAAGTTTACTGATGATGTTGGTAACTTATTTGTTTTATGGCAGTTTTTATCGTAAATCCTAGGATCCTAGCGTCTCCAATCTAAAAAGTTCATTACCACATTGGCATTTCTATTAAGCGTATTTGCTAAATTTTATTATTTTGAAAATTCAAATCTTTCAGTGCATTGTTCTTGCAAAGTGCAACCACTAATGTCTTTCCTACGGTACTTCTAATTATTATAAAGATTCAAATATTCCATGTAATGTTTTTATAAAGTGCGCTTGTTAATGCATTTCCTTTATCATAGCCGAGTTCATTCCATCCAGGTTCAAAAAAGTTAATGCGAATGTTATTGTAAAATGTATCTGCCAAAGCTTTTCCTCTTCTGATCTAAGTTTGTTCTGACCAATATTCAAAGAAATAAGTGGTGTTTTTACAAAATGAATCCGCTAATGCTTTTCCTATTTCTAATCCAAGAATATTTATACGTGTATCGAATCTTCAAAGAAATCAGTGTAGCGTTATTGCAAAGTGCTTTTCCAAAGGGTATTACAATTAAGATTCAAAGAATTCAGTATAGTGTTTTTGCAAAGTGCCTTTGTTTATTCGTTTAAAGTTTCAACCCACATTTATTACAAGAAAGGTTCTAGGTTGAAGCACTTTCTTAATCTTCAACATTATACTGGCTGCTCCAAGAATTTCTTTATAAAATTCTAATGATTCGAGAAATTCGCCTTCATCAAAACGCCTAAGTGCATCTTTTCTCATATTCTCAGGAATATTATTGTCTTGTGCTGAAATATTTGAATTTATTGTATCAAATAATAATTAAAGGCGATTCGTAGTTTCAAGAACGTTTATATTACCTTGAGAACATGATGCTTCAGTATAATGGTGTTGACTCAAAGGTTTGGAGGATCATGTTTCTGGATGATTTGCAGGATCTTTGTCCTAATATTGCTTGCAAAGTTCTTATTTTCTTGAGTTATATAGTGGAGAACCACTTTAATTCGAAAGTTTTGGAATGGTGGCTTTCCGCTTGAAACTTTCCAAAGGATTACACCAAAGCTATGGACATCAGATTTTTTATTACATATATATTTGGGATCTATAAAGCGTTTAGGTCCGATATACTGTACGTATACCAGCATTTCTTGAACGATTGAGTTTGAAGTGGTTTGATAAAGCAAAATCTGCAATCTTCGGTTGTTTTTTGACGAATTGAATATTTTAAATTATTAGTGAATTAATAAAAATAAAAGTGCAATAAATCATATAATACCTACAAGGTCTCTATGAATAATGTTATTATGATGTAAGTATAAAAAATCCGATGCTATTTTCTTAGTAAGACATAGCTTATCTGTCCATTGTAATCGTGTAAAATTTGCTTATAGGTATTCTCTCAAACTTTTGCCATTAGAATATTATAAAACAATCCATTGCTATCTATTTATTTGTATAAGATAAATCATTTTTTTGTTATTTGATATCCTCAAAATCGTCGTTCAAAATCCAATAACTGATAATATTTTTAACGGAAATCAACTCTTCGTAACAGCTTAAGCTTTATTACAAGATTATAGAAATTTAATATGCCATTAAGTAATTAAAGTTTTAATATAATAAAATCTTTAATAATTTTCTCGTTTAAACTTAAGTCGGCATCAAAATTAATTCATAGTCTTTCCACTTGTATTCAAAAACCAATCGTTTTTTTTTTTTTAAAAAAAATGGGTGTGTTACACAATTTACTTTATGGGATGATATAAATTTTTTTACAAGATCACATGTTGAATTCAATTTGTGAAGTCGAAAATTTTTTTAAAAAAATTTCTCGTTATTTAATTTTGATGTCTGATAAAAGTTGAACAGTGTATAAATAAGAGCCAAAATTTTAATTAGAATCAAAATCTCAAAAATTGCAAAAGATGGGTTTTCTAATCCATTCCCCATATTTCATTTAATGGCGTAAGAGGGTTCGATTTCTTATTTGTACATCGAATATAATTTTACAATTAACCTTTCATGAATACGCATTGTCGGGAAAAATGCGAAGATATTTCAGCTTCAACTTCAATTATATACCAGATAATGTGGCGAGAAACTGCATGTGAAGTGCGAAACACTAATGATTGTACGTACGTAAGTACGTAGACTTTGCCCCTTAGCCAAAGTGATACATATTATTGAAACGACCAGAACATCTATTTTATTGTCAAATTCGTGATAAATATAATGTTGGCATTTTTATCACTATCATCAATTTCATATTTGATTCAACTTGTTATACACTGGCAATCATAAGTAGTGCAACAAAAAAAAAATTTCACTTACATCATACTACCTCCCGCAATTCCGGG